ACCACTCGCCCTGCATGCGATTGAAGTCGGGCGGCTGTTGGAAGCATGGGCCACGGTAAGGTGCGTGTTGGCGACCAGGATCCTACGGCAGGCGTGTCAATTGCTGGGCCTATGGCCGCAAGGTGCTCCAGGTCATAAGCCTTCCAGCCAAGGGAAATCGGATTCTCCCATAGACTCATGGCGGATTTTTGGGGTCATCTTTAAGTAATTCGCCTTCTTCCCCCAAGCAAAAAGGGATTAGGATGCCACTAAACAACTGGGCGATGAAATCTCAGGCGCCCACCCCATCCTGACACCTGGCACCCCCTCCTGCAGCCAGTTTCCGCATGCGTAAGCTGGGCATACATGGCCACTCGGTCCTCAGCTCCCAAATCGCAGGTTCCCAGTCCCTCGATCGATCTGGATCCTTGCGGTTGACAATTCGTGGAAACTCACCAAGCGATATCAATCCGGGACTCTTTGGCGGACATCATTTACATGGCGATGTATGTCCAACCCGTATGAAGGGGTCCGAATCGCAAAACTTACAGCTGTATGTAGCCTAACTAATTGGAGCCCAGGATAAACAAACCCCTGGTTGATGAACAGGGCGCTGGCCATTCAAAACGGCATCGTTCACTTTTGGGGGAAACCGCCCCCTGTTATTCTACCAAGTTGAATCTGGGGTCGTTGCGAGTCAGCGTCGCAAGCTAACCTCACAGGTTCCTTTTGGCTTGTGAGGTGTGGAAAACCCTCAGCAGAAATAAGCACCGATATGCATGGGCATATGTGCGCCGCAAAAAGGTTGGTACTTCCAGTCCCGAGGGAAATGTATTGTGGCACGCCTCCACAGTTAGTTGCCCATACGCTGTTCCCTTGCAACAATTAAATGGAACCGTGGGCATTGCAAGGGAGAAGCCTCAAACTCCCCCTTGTTTTTGCTGGGTTTGCACGCCGAAGCACACGCAGTCATATCTTGTTTGGGGGAACCAGGCCAATCACAGGGTGGAATTGCACAAAAATCGGTGCAGTCAGCTTTGGATGTACGAAACTTCAGAATTTGCGCAGAGGTACCCGCCCTCGCAATTCCCAAACCCCACAGTTCTGCAAAAAAAAGCGATCTCACTTAACACGCACCTGCACCAAAGGTGATGCAAAACATCACCAACAAGGAAGTACAACTCACGTGTTAACACCATGCATCCAACAGGTGATGTACTAAGTCACACGAAAATAGCAATGCTCATAATAGTCGTAGTAGTAGTAGTAGTAGTAGCAGTAGGAGTAGCAGTAGCAGTAGCAGTAGCAGTAGTAGTAGTAGTAGTAGTAGTAGTAGTAGTAGTAGTAGTAGTAGTAGTAGTAGTGGTAGAAGCAGTAGTTATTATGCAATACTAACCACAATAACAATAACAATAATAGTAACGCAACCCCTGTAACAATAACGATAACAATGATCATCATAATGGAGATAGCAACTGCAAGCGTAAAGCCGAACAACGCTGGCATGTTGTACCCAAGAATTCCCTTCCCCGCCCGAAGCCCGAGGCGCGCAAAAATCGGGCTCCAAATCCGCGCTCCGGACCTGGCGCAACTGCAAAAGCTCTAAAGCCATCTAATTTGGAGGGCTTTTTGGTTGGCTTTGTCCAAGGAGACCCAGAGGGTACCTTATTAAGTCCAATTAATAACTGGTTTTACCACAGAACCAGTTCTAAGGAGCCCACCAGTCCAGATCGACCAAAAGAAAGACCCACACCTGGAAGACAAAGAAAATTATATGTTCAGAAGATGTGTGGTCATTAATTTACCCTATAATCTAGAAGATTTCATCTGCAACCGAACGGATGTACAAATAATAATTCCACTTGTGGATCTGGAGTGAAGCGCCAGTAAAACACACAGATTTCTTTTCAAACCCAGCTCGGACTTGGCATGACATGTTGAGCTTGAAAACCGGCTAAGGCATGCGCACAAGCCAAAATCCAACCGAATCCAGCGCACAGCTTGGGCCCGTGCTACTTGCCGCTCCGAACCGAAACAAACAGGGGTCACTGGATTCCAGTACTCGCCTGCAACTAGCTGGTGGTGTCCATTGAAACTATTTGTTGAAGGTTCCAAAAGGGGAACGAGGGAAACCCCGGAGAAAAGTATCTTGAGGGACTTCTCGTCAGATCAGACCGACGAAGGCAATGCTACTTACCCCATGTCCCACTGATCGACCCAAGAGATGTTTTGATCCCATGGTGCAAGCAGGTTGAAACCAAGCGCCCCACGTAGCCCACATGCATGTGCGGTGGATTGAAGGGTATGTCTAAATGTGTTTCTTTTTCCCAAGGTACCTTTCTCAGCCTGGTTTCACTGAAAGCCAAAAGGGATACCACCTCTTTTTGCTTATTGTTGCTTTTGACACATACAGTATATCCTTGTTTGCTCAGAGCCTCCACGTCTTGGAAGGCACAGCGCCGCAGGAGCAGTGCGAGGCCCTCCTTCTTATCCCCGGTGCCTTTCGTGGATTCCGGGCAAGTTCTGGGCTAAAAGCACCCTCAAAACCTGGGGAGAAAAAAAACAAAACAACGTCTAGAAAACGGTTTGGATGCGACTTTTGTGGATCCACCCCCCGGATATCAAAAGAGTACTAAAATATTACTACAAAGAACCAACAGGGGAAGAACAGGTGAAATCCCCAAAACCGCATCCAAACTATACTTTTTTGGAAACTGGAGTATTTCTGCGCGGAGAAACCCAATGACTGCTGAGTTGACTGGCCGGCTTGCCAACAAAAAAACAAATGGGCCTGGATTGAGATACTAAGATGATAAAGACAACAACAACAACAAAAAAACGGGGCCCCGGCCCAAGGTCGCCACCAAAACACGCCAAAATCGAGCGGGGCCGAGGGGCGCTGCTTCATGTGGAGCTCGTAGACGTCGCCCAGCTTGGACGCGTAGAGCTCCGCGAAGCCGCGGCTCTCCGGGGCGAAGTCGAACTCCTGGAGACAGATCACGTCCTCGGCACGAAGGGGAAACTCTGCACGCCGGCCCGGTGGGAAAAAACTCTCCAACTTGAAAACAGCAACATATAAGACACAGACAAGCAGTCAGCAAACAGTGCCGCTGTTGGTGGGTTTCCATGGCCACTGGGGTTCAGCTTCTCGGAAAAGCTGGGTTGGATTGGGTGAGGTTCGGTCTGCACAGAAGCTAACCAGCAGGTTGAACTCTGAAAGTTGGAGCCAGGAAGCAAAATGAAAATGTGGGGACAAAAACCACTCAGCCAGGTGGCCTTTTCGAAAAATAGATGGCTCTGGTAGATGGCATGCACCCTATCTAAACCAGGCCTCTATTTTTTAAGCAAACCAACCAAAAGGACACCTATGCACTCAGCCAGGTGCCAGGGAAGCACCTGTTTTCCCAACCCTTCGGGCCCTTCAACTTCTCACGCCCCAGGCTCCGGCGCGAGCTCAAGGAGGCAGTCGCAAATGGCAGCATGGCGATCCTGCCGGTCGCGTTCTGAGCCAAACTGGTTTCATGGGTCGAACAACTTCCATTTGCTTTTTCGCCCCCTGGAAAAAATGACAAAATATGTCCTTCCCTTTAAAACCAGCAGGGCAAAATAAAACAATTATTCTAAAGCAAATGGAAGACAAAGGGAATTCCCAAGTTGGGGTTCGACGAATTTTAGGATGGGACCTTCAAGGTAAGCTGTGGGGCGGGTTTCCCCCCGCCGTAGGCTTTAGCCGTCACCACGGCTCCTGTGGCCTCCCAGCCTGGGTTCGTTTCGATTCGAATTGCTTCGTCCTGCCAGGGTCGCAAGTGCAAAGGCGAACAAATCCGCGCGGAGGGTGCCAGTACGTTGAAGCTGCACAGCCGCAGGTGGCCGTTCATGGCGCAAATCCCAGCGGCGGCGCAACCAGCGGCGGCTTTGGGGCGATCGACGCTTTGGGGCGATTGGTGGGCGTGTTGCATCGGTATCCGATTTGTGTGTGGGTGGGTTTGGCTTCGGCTGTTGATTTTTGCAGGGGGCTGAATCTGGGGAAGGACATGCGGTTGAAGGCTCCACCCCCCCCCTGAATTGCCCCCGCTGGGCACCCGAAGGAGGCCGTGGGAAACAGGAGTTGTTGGGGGTCGGGGGGGGGGTACTGGAATATACAAGTGGCAGAGAAATTACACGTTGTCCTCTTATGACTTGGTGTTAATGCCCCCCACAAGCCCAGTCTCTAAACTTTGTCACTGGTCTTGGGCAAAGATGCGGCTAGGGGAGGTCCGATCGCTCGTGGTAGATGCGCCAATGTCGATACCGGCGCCAGTTGTCTTTCTTGGTTTGGTGATTTCGCCTGAAAGAGCCTCAAAGGGTTCCTTTATGCCCAGGCTCACTGGGCAGCTGGCAAACAGGTGTACCTTTCAACTGTTTGCTGCTTGTAGCTGGCTTCAGCCCGTGCCGGCAGTTGCTGCTCGAGCTGCACTCATGGACGAGAGGACTCTTGCCAGCACAACATAGTCGCTCGTTCGACCAACTCATCATGGACAATCCTTCGTGCTTCTCAAGCCACTACCCTGGTGCAAACCCAGGCTGGCATGCGGGCAATCCACAGCCCGATGGGAACAAAGTCGCCAGGATAACATGAAACCTTCCTGTTGGAGCCCTTTTTTGGGTTGCATGATAGGGGAGTAACCCTAGTGAAAAGTGGGGGATCCCGTGACACAACTGCCTGAGTGAAGTGATACATATTCACCAATCCAAAACAAACAAAATGATCAATTACGAAAGCGGGAAGTGGCCCAAACGAAAACTCCCAAGCTCACTGGGCAAAATACTAGGAACCGAGAGAGCTTGCTCAAGGAAGCTCCTACCATCCTCCGCTACCTTTCAATGAAGAGGGGTGGGTCTAACCACACCCACTATCAGAGTCACCCACAAGTGGTAGGCTAAAGGAAAACCACCCCAGTTTCTGAATTTGCTAACGGCAGCCACATAAACAAACACTTTTTGGGCCGGGGGATGTTTCTCTCCCCGGCAGCACGGTCAGCCTGCTGGTCCGTCTTCCAGCGCTCTGCATTGTTCAGCAAGGTCAGCTTGAATCGCGCCTGCCAGCGGCAGAACTGGGACCCCAGCAGGGTCCCTTAGAAGGATACATTTTGTCCAGTCAAACGAAGAATATACCAGCTACTGGAAAGGATGGCCCTCGTAAATGAGGTAGCTGCTGGAATGTTCCTTTAAACACCCTGCGAAAGTGGTTGGGCCTTTGGAATTTGTGCCCGACTCCATTCTGAAGCTAGGGCTCCGTAGAAGCAGGCCAAAACGATGCCCCATATTGCTTCAAAGACCTGCCCCACGGAAACCAAACCACGGGTTTGCTCATTTAGCTTGAAAGCCTGCCTGTAAGCCTGCCTATTGAGCCAGTCCTCTCGTGTTTTTGCCCAGTTCTGTGGCTCCAAAACTTCACATTGGCAGCCCTCTGAGCCCTTTGAAATCCATTTTGGGGCATCTGGAAAAATCGAGTGTGTGTGTGTGTGTATATTTGTGTATGTGTGTATATGTGTGTGTCTCTGTGTGTGTATAGGCGTGTGTCTGTGCGTCCTTGTTTACACCTACCCGCATGAAAGCCTGGATTCACCCGGCCTCCTGCTTCTTCCGTGGGCGTTGCGGAGGACGGGCCAAAGCAGCGCCCAGGGCGATGAGCCTCGACGACCAACAGGTTGTTGTTTGAGCATTTGGCGTTTTAACCTTGGGTGCTGTAGATCCCCCAGCAAAAACTTGGTTGCTGTTGACCCCCCTGCAAAAAGTGAATAACTTTTTGGGGAGTTAGTGGAAAACCCCGTTATTTCCAAAAAAGTTAAAATCTAAAGATCCAACCCAATAGCAGTCAAGAAAAGCTTAACTTCTTGCTGGTTAAAAGGAAATACGTAGGGAATTCAAAAAGTTAATGTCTAAAGATTTAACCCAATAGCGGTAGAGAAACATGCTTAGACCAAAATTGGTGAACCAACTCACCAAGGGCGACTGCCAACAAAGGTTGGAATAACAAGGGGGCCAAACCAACACCAGTGGAATCCATTGCTGTGCAACCAAACCGACCCGACTCCAACGCATTTCCACCATGCAGTGTTACGTGTTACCTGTTGACTGACAAAAGAGCCTTTCACCCCCACCCGCAAAGGGGATATACCTGAATCATGACTTTCCTTCCTGTCCAAAGTCGTTGCATGTCGTTGCATTTCAAGCCTCCCCCGGAAAATTGTCAGGTCAGGTACTTTGGAGCTTCGTTTTTCCTGTCACAGTGCAGTGGCCGAGGTGTCCTTTGAGCACCACTTGTACGCAAATGTTCAAATGTACCCATCGTGATTCTGTTAGGACTGGACGCTGTGCGTGATCCTCCCCCAAGTCAAGCACTGCAAATTCAAGCAGCGTCGCAGCTTCATAGGGAATGGATCGCTCTCTTCCAGGGTACTCGGATTTCCGCGTAGCAGTTCTATGAATGCAATTGGGAAAGGTCAATATTTCTGTTTGGAACCCCACCAAAAGAAAGCTGATTCAAAGTGGCCTTAGGTGTTTTCAAACCACAAGAGTCGCAATCAAAACCTGGTACTAAAATGGTCTACCCCGAACCATGTACAGGATTAAGATGGCGGATATCCGCAGCTATTTATGGTTGGGATCGTCCCTTACTAACCTTCATCTACCCAGGCTTTGATTGTGGCTCACAAGGCGAAATGTAGACGCCCCTGAGTCCAGCAATCCACGGCCCATGGTTGGACAAAGGATGGCCCATAGCTTGGCGCTAGGGGAAAAACATCATCTGGCTTTCAGGTAGATGACCAAGATGTGTGTATGTGTGTATGTGTGTATGTGTGTATGTGTGTATGTGTCTTTGCTTTCTGTATTCCCCTAACTGTTTCTAACAAGTTTGATGTAATATTGACCCCATATTCATCAGCCCCAGCTTATAAATAAGGGTGTCCCTGGGTTGTGGGGAATCATCATTTTGCAGGGGAGCAACCCCCTATGAATAAACAGGGGTTGACTAATATGGGGTCAACTGTTGAGACAGATCATGGGTGAATAGAACTCCAGCTGGCTTGAAGGCCTCAGGCCTTGCCCCTCTAAAACATAGCCATCGAGGGAACCATCCCAGGCTGCATGCAATTCCCAATGTAAATGATGTCCTCGAAAATACCCTGCATATTCATACACGTCCACATGCCAAAAGCCCCGGAAAGGCACATGTCCCGCCGCTTCCCTGCGGTTGGCAGTCGCAGCACAGTCTCCACAAGAGCCACCATCAGAAAGAGCATGGGACAAATGAGTCAGGCCCATGGGCGTCGGAAATGTTCAGCTTCCCCACATTAGTGCTTTGGTTTAGGAAGTGGCTGGGCCAAAAAAGTCTGAACTGTTTGTTATCATCAAAATGTTCTTCCCAAAAAGTATCAGGTCCATGAACTCAGGGCGTGAGTTCAACAAATTAAAGGTTCATGGGGTTCTGACAGGCCATGTCCTGCGTGCTGAAAACCCTCTTACTTGGGCCATGGTGATGGTTCCCTCAATGGGAAGCGTGGTTGTCCAAATTACGAATTCAGGGGTTCATGGCCAAACTTACACCCAACAGCATATGTGCCAATTCTGCTTCCACAAAAACATCAACAACAACAACAACATACACATAACCCTATACATATATATATATATATATACAAGCATATATATATATATATATATATGCACATGCGTATATAACATATACAACATGTATATACGCACATACATACATTTTGGAGGAGCCCCCAAACCTGCGCAGCCCACTCCGCCCAGCTGGCCCAGGATGGCCCGCGACTTGTCGCTGAGCCGCCCCCCGCCGAGGCAGTTGAAGGAAGCCACGGCGGCCCAATGATGCCACACCAAAACCCCAGCGCCGCCCAGCCTCAGCTTCCATTTTGCGTGTTCGCCGCCTGGACAAAAATGAGAACACATGTCTAGTAGTAAAACTGATTCCAACTTTAAAATCAACACGGGAGAATACACGAGACTCAACAAGCATTAATTTCAGCGAATGGAAGTGAGGGCGGCTTTGCCACTGGCACGCCATGACTGCTTGGACACTTTGGGTTTAGAATTGGAAAAACAGTCGTTGGGCGGTGGTGAAGAGCACAAACACATACCTGAATAATCAACAAACCCACGCTCAATCAAGACCTTGAGGGATGAGGGGGGGAGTATTAATCAAGGAAACCAAGAGTAAACTAACATGATTAAAATTTGGCCCCCCCCCCCTCCCCTCCGCCCCCCCCTCCTCCCCCCCCCTCATTCCCAACGGCTTTGAGGGGGACATGGTGTTGTTTTCCCGCTCAGGGTGGCCGTTGATTTCTGCCTGCTCGCATTCGCAAAGCGTTCGCTCCCCGTTGAAACCCATCGAGCGCACCCACATTACGTCTTGGCCCCTGTAAAACAAGGCCACAAATAATATGTCAAAGGGTGCGGCCGACATAGCTTGACCAAACCTTATTCATACACTCAGTTTCCCTCTACTTGGTGGTTGGATTTGCGGATTGGTGGTTTAGGAGGAGTTTACTCTCTACAAAAGTTCAAATCCCAAAGCCACCAATCCAAACCACCACTTAGGGTTTCCTGACAAACGTGTCGTTTTTCAAATCCACAAGGCCGTGAAGGGGACGATTGATGTGGATGTCACTCGAAGATTGGCCCAAAAAATGACTCAACTCCAAACGGAACTCAAAAAGCCTCGCCCTCTTGGCAAGGGGCGCGAGCGCAGCGCCTGCGCCCTGTCTGGCCTGAGCAAGCCCAAACCCCCATTGCCCCACCAATTCATATATGGAACCTGACGTTCGGGGGGTCCTGGTTTGGACCATCCCTTTAAAGGGGGCCGGGTCCCTTTCAGGTTCCATATTAATTGGTGGGAGGGTATGTTCCACTTGGAAAAGTTCCAAAAGGCGAGGACCAATACCAATGAGGGAAGTATAAATATAATTTGGAAAGTCGGTCAAATATATCCCAAGTCTGGCACAAATTACAACTAGGTCCTCCAGTAAAGAGGTTAGAAATAAGGGTACCCTTTTTTTCTGTCGTCTGTTTTAGTAGGGGAACCCTCCAACCAAAAAAGGGCTGAGAAAGGGCACCTAGCTGGGGCACCTAGACAACAATTCACGCGGAACCAGTAGGACCGTCCCAAAATACGTTGGACCTTCCTCGTGGCTGGCCCCTTGCGGCTGCTCCGCTCCCCCCCGGTGCCTTGTCGATCGTGCCGCCGGCCTCCACACTGGCCTGAAAAGGGTCTACGTCGGGTGGTTGTGAAACCCATGGGTGTCATGTGTGTGTATTTGTTTCTTTTGGGGGGGCACCCCCTTTTGGCCGGTTTTAAGGGAGAACCAAAAGAACGACCAACGTTTTTTGCCGGGGGGGTCCCTAAAAAATGACCCGGTTGTTCCTCCAAATACGGGTTGCCGAAACTGGTTGAGCTTTGTTTTCTCCTTTGAAACAGCCACCCATGCCACCTGCCGCCGAATGCAAAAACGGCTCCCTGATTTTGACAAATCCAAGTCGAGAAGCCGACACCCAACAGCCTGACTTCTGCGGCTTTTGTTTTGAACGAACAACAGGTGCGTTGTTTGTTGTTTCTTGTTTTTTTTTTGGGGGGGGGGTATGTTGGGGGACTCCCAAAATGGTGATTTTCCGTTTGGTTTCCCTTCGAATCCGACAAAAAGGGGTATCCCTCAAAACAGCGAAACAGACCCTAATACGGCTGCAAGTGCTTTTGTTAACCCCAAGGGGCTCTTCAGGCAACGCAGTGGATTCCACACTGCCCACCCAAGTCAAAATGGATATCAGACCAGAAAATTGGCCAACCTGAATACTACATGCAGATGAGTTAATTTAATCATTCCAACCCGAACTAAGGGATCACAAAGAAACCACATCACAAAGAGTTCACTTTAGCTTTCCATAGACTACTCAAATAGAAGTCTCCAATACCTTCTTCCAAAACGCTAGCGCCTCCTAGCTGCCAGTTGCTCAAATCAGATTCGCGCGCGGTGGTTTCACCGCCCAAGTCCCATGGAACCATTGGAATCCTGCAACCCCAACCACTCACATGGGTTTGTCTCATGGGGACATGTCGCATTTAGGATCATTTAGGAAGTTGTCCAATAGTTTGTCCTTCCAACCAATGCCAAACGGCGCACTCTCCACCACGCAACGAGAAAGACACTGTTGCTTTTCAGCAGCGTTTGCTCCCCCCCCTTCGCGTCAAATGAGTCTCAAAAGTAGATCTTCAGGTTCTTCAGCATGTTTAGCAGGCGCCATAGAAAGACCCTAGAAAAACCCAAAAAAGTAAGACAAAAAACAACCGAGATCATAGGAGACCTGGGGAAAACCATGCAAAAAAAGAAGAAGCAAAGCCACCCCCATCCCATCGAACTCCGATCCTGGTGAAGCTCCCTGGGGGTGAAGCTCCGGGGCCTCGGCTCCAAAGGCTCCGTCTGGGGGCGTTTCTGGGTGGCTTTGAACGCAACAAGAACAAAAGGAAAACCGGGTCTGAAAAAGCTTCTGGTTGGCTTGAAAGAAGCCAAACGGACAAAACACCTCCATGCTGTTTTTTGGGGCCCGCAAAGAACAAAAAAAACGCCCTCGCATCCATGTACCAAATGGCGGTCACCCGAAATCCATGCGTTTTCAAACTCGTCCAATGCTTGGCTTGGTGCCTTTCGCTTCTCCCTGGTGGCTTCAAAAAAAAAAAAATGTCCGACCATTTCACACCGAACAAAGTCCCCCCCCTAAGTGGTAGGTTAAAGGCCCCATGGAAACCGTCGAAATGATGACCCCAAATAAAATGACCAGAATGGATGTCGCTTGCTAAATTCGGATTCCCTTGTCTTCCATAAACCTTTCTCGTGCTTGGATGTAAGGAATACGGGAACCGAGCTCTCAATCATTCCCTGCAAGAACCCAACAGTCGTTGGGTTTTCGGGTCGGTCCGAATTTCTCTATTGAGAGCCAAACAGCAACGGCAGGGTTCCTCAAACAGGATGCCTCCAAAACCAATTACAGGAGGATCCTGAAAAATACCAGCTTGTGAAAGTGAAGATTTGACTGAAACCACTTAGGCTTGAGGATTGGTTGCGCCGCTTGACGTCATGGTAGGGCTGGTAGGACCACGTGGGACCACCCCGCCCCCCCAACAAAAAAACAACGCCCATGATTCGATATTCAGCCAGCAAATCGTTTAGAGTTCACGGTTTGCGATGCTGCTCCAAGTCTGGTTGATTCCATGAGATAATAAGAGCCAAGGTTTTAGTAGCGGCTCCGCGGAGAAAACACACACACACACACATCCCCATCCCTCCCCCCCACCCCCAGCCTTCAGTATTGTTTGGTGTAAATTCACCTGTCACGACTTAATGTCGACCCCTGGATCAAGCAGGCGGATTATTGGGTGGTTCCCATAGCGATCCGCATGTTCGGCAGTCAGAACCAACCAGGGGGCTTACAAATCAACCGGGCCCCCATTTAGATTCGAACAAATTCAAGCTCAGGATCCACCAAAGACCAAACATCAAGTAGCAAGGCTTCCCATCATTCGGCACCGCCCCCCAAGCGGATTTAGGGCCCGGGCTCCTGCTTGTCGCTGCCGGGCTCCTGCTTGTCGCTGGCATCACCCGATCCTGCAGCAGTGGCTACGGGCAATACTCTACTAGGGTAATTGCTGCCAAAGGGCAGCCCCCGCCACAAAAATAAAGGAACAAAAAGCGCCGCGGCGGTCATACCATTTCCACTCCTCAACCCAATGAGGCATCTTTCTCCACGCGTTCTTGGGAAGGCAAGGGTGGGGGCCCGGGACTTGGAGCTTCTCCACAGATTTGTCCCATAGCGGCGGTAAGCACCGTCTGTGCCTAGGTCCCCCAGTAGTGCCCTTTTACCCGTTTTTGAGGAGGGTTCCCCTACTAAAATAGACTACCGAAAATAGGGAACCCTTCTTCTAACCTCGCCACTGGAGGACCTAGGTTCTAATCTAGAGTTGCAAGGAACTCTTTTGCCCAAGTGCTTACGCAAGCACTTGAGCGAGCAAAGGGGCTTACGCAATCACCCACGCTACGGGGAGTACAGGACACACTTACCGCAGCCTTACGCTGCCACATGTTCTCCTTACGCGTGGGGCCCTGATGACCACCCCCGTTCAATCGCAAAGCAAACTAGCGCGGAACCCTGCTCATAAGTAAACTCCTCTACAACTAAGAGGTAGTTGGGAATCCATGTTAACTGCAGGGCAGTACAAGCAATCACCAGTTGACCTGGACCAAAGCTGATTGGAAGAAGTTGAATCCAAAATGCCGCGTCTAGTCGACTCAAAAATATCTCTGGTTGCAAGTTGCTGAGTTCACAAACCCGAAATATGGAGGTCCAAAGGAAGAAAGTGTCTTTGGTGAGCTCGTTTTCCCCCCAAATATCAAACAAATGCCCTGAAAAAAACTGCTTTGAGAAATTGGGCCCTTCTACGATGCAGCCGGCCTCTTCTTTCTTGGAGCGGGGAGTTCTGGAAAAGCCCCCCCCCAAAAAAAAAGGGAACGGCTTGGGCTTGATCTCTTTTCGCGCAAGAACTTCGGGGGATCTCGTACCTCTCATTCTGGTCAGTGACCCTTCTTTTCCCCTTCTTTTCAAACAACGACTCCCTACAAATTAGCCTGAAACCCAAAAAACTCCAGTTTGGAAGACCCCGTTTTTGGGTTCCCATGTTTATCTGAAGGGGAGTAAAGACCCTAAGAATTCGTCTATTCTGAAGTGGCTGATGGGCAAAAAAAAATGGGCACCTGCCCGAATGTGGATTCAACCCACCTCTTACATTTCACCCTTCGCCGCATCCCTCCTGACGCGTCATTGGCCGCCATGCCTTGGGCACGAGAATCGACTCGCCAGTCGGCATGAGACATATGACATAACCCCACTGCAGTTCAAGATTACAACTAAATCCCCCAGTAGACAGGTTAGAATAAGGGCACCCTTTTTTCAGTAGTCAAAAGAGTAGGGGAACCCTCCCAACCCAAAAAGGGGTGAGAAAGGGCTCTACTGGGGGACCTAGACAGGGCCTCTTGGGTTCTCCGAACAAAAGGCACACCCGGCGCAAATCTGCCAGATCGATTTTGCTGGAGCCCTTCCAGTTGCCTTTTCGCCCCCTGGAAACATAACATTCTCCAGTAGTGAGATAGATTCCCTTGAAAACTAACCAGGGAAGATCACACATATTCATTTCAGCAAATGGACATATACTTGCCCAAAGGACTTGGAAACAACAAGGTTGACCTGTTGACACCTTTGCGAAAAGCAGACGGCAAAGCTGGGAAGACGAAGTCAGATCCGGTCGATTCGCTTTGGGATGGGCGTAAATCGTTGGCCTCCCTTGTCGTTTACCTTGCTATCTTGCGGGAAAGAACCCAGGCGTTGGTCCCCTCAAATGACGCCGCCGGTTGGATGGTTTATCAGGGTCATTCATGGTTCACGTTGGAAGGGGAGCAAACAATGTAGAAATCTTAGCAGTTAAGTGGGGATTTCAACCACTAAACCACAAGAAGCCACAATCAACAACCATGAGATGGGTGTGACTCGGTGATTTTTCAGGGAAAAAACCCTGGTGTGAGTCTTGTTGGGACACCCTTTGGACACAGGTGAAGGTTCAGAAGTGATCCCATTTCTCATTCCCCGCATCTCTCGCACCTAGCTCGGACTTCTCTGCAGCCAGCACGCCGGTCGAGAAGCTGCGGCACGGCCTGGCCGTTGAACGACGCCCGCCACCAACCAGCGACACGTTGAGGCAGGAAGGGGGACCCTTGCCTGCATTTGCTCTCAAGTCCCCTCCGTCGGCGACAAAGATACACAGGGGCCGCAAAAGAAAGAGGGCTGTCTAGACCGACATTGAACATAGCCTCCTTTGCGCGCGGGCACGCAAAGCGCAAAAACGCAAAGGCGGAGTTGTAGACCCTCAAGCCACCAGAGGTCACCAACAACTGAAAAGCTCCAGTGGTGATAGATTCCTTTTAAAACCAACAGGGATTTTGTTTTATTATTATGTTTTTTTCCAACAAGATTATTGACTAAATGGAAGCTTGGAGGGAGGAGGGGGGAATCCTCTTTGGACCACGTAGGAGGGAGTAGGGAGCAGGGGGAAGTGAGAAAGGGAATACTCTTTGGTTGGATTCCATGTTCATTTGGGGATGAGGGACCAACTTGTTCGGGGTAACTCGGGTAACCGGGAACCCTTTTCAATTGATAGCATTTTTCAGTGGGGAAGGGGGAACCTTGATTGAGTTGATTCCATTTGTTCTGTTGTGTGTGTGCTTTCTTGATCAGGTACCAGGTACCTTTTTTTTGGTCGAATCATGTTTTGTGCGGTGATCCAAAAGGAAGGAAGCGGACTGGTTCCAATTTGCTTTGGTTGAGCAATCTTTTTCAGCGGACCCCGAACCCACCAAAAAACTGGATTCGCGTATGCGGCAATCAACGCGCATGCGTTTTGTGCCTTCGACAAATCCTGGCATTTCCTGTAGCCCTGAACCGCCCAAGTAACAATCAGTTGGCATGCCCAGCCAATAGGTGAAGAGTCTCACATTTTGAAACCCTGACTCATGGCAAAAGCTTTCAGCCCGCCCCTCTCCCCGATTCCCCAAGATCAGGCAAAGGTGGGGGCAATTGGCGTTGCAATCCGTCGCAAGAAGGCCAGCACCGCTTATTCACAGGGGATGTTGCCCTCCCACCAAAAAACATGAAGCCTGACAAAGGTCCTGGAAGAACATTTTCCTTTTTCAGGGACCCCCTGTCAAGTTTCATGTCAATTGGCGGAAGACTGCCGAGAATTGTGGTTTGCTTTTGGTTCGCTGAGGCAATTGATTGTTCACCCAGGATTAATAAACCCGTCCCACTATGAGGGCGGTTTTCCCTCCAACAGTGATGAATCCCCACTAAAAGGGGACGACCCCCCCCCTATTAATCAACCAGGGGCTTATTAATCCGGGGTTAACATTAAACCATGGACTTCAGCTTCCTTGCTGGCTTAGATTGGTTAGGTCAGGTCGGTTTCCCAGCCCTCTACAAAGGCCGATCAAATCCCCAATCCAAACCGCACATCTAAGATGGTGTCCACCCGCAAACCGCCACCCCCAAAACAGAAATGGTACATGTGGCACTAAAATATAGTGGCTATATGGGGCGTATTCACTCCCTTTTGCCTTGGGTAGTGGTTTGCGGAAACCATCTTATATAAATATTTCCCACTACGAAGGCCAGAGGGTCCAATCCCCAATCCAAACCACCAAAGGGTTACCGGACGAGGTCTTTTCAGCACCCACATTGGAAACACATTTGAGTCATAGTCCAAACCTGGAATTTAAACTTCCAGAATGGAAAGAATTAACAAGGCGGATATCCGTTCCCAATGGTAAGGGGACTATCCGGGTTTTGAGGACGATGGCTCACCTGAGGCTCATAGAGAGCCCTGCCTCCAAGCTAGCGGCACTGACCGCCTCCGGCGAACTGGCGAACCGGCGAACGCGTGGCTCGAATCCGAGCTCTGCCCAAAACGAATTGCCCCACATGGGAACCAGAGATGGCCCATCTATTCAAATGTATATATATATATATATGTCGCACATGTACACATATGTATAAGCAATATGCGGCATGTGGCTTTTCCAGGTTACCAGGTTTTGGTGCGGGCTGAGGCAAGAAGGTAAGCCACTTTGATACGCTGAGAGGTAATGACTAGATTTCATCGGTTGGAAAGCAAGTGGGGTTCCGCCCCGGGTTGAACCTCCGCAAAGCTTCAAAACCAAACGGCACCCCGGCGTAACCTTCTTGATCAACTTCTAAGGATGTTTCCCTCTAGGGCCTGCTTTTTGCGCCTAGGAAATAACGAGGCCCAATGGGTGTCGACACTTTTGACCTGGTTCCGAGTTTCTTCGCAAAGTCATCTAAAAGGCAAACCCTGGCTTCTTCACCCTCTGGGTCTTTCTCTTTTTCGGCAAGCCCCATGTTGACCAAACCCCGGCTGTTGGAAAGGGCAATACCCCGGAATGCCACATCGTTGACGGTTGGCCAGACACTCTGCAGATTAACACTAATTTGTAGTGACAGCTCCTTTTTCGGAAACCCCCCTCCCCCAACAAGGCTCCATGAATGATGTTTTGTTTATGCTTTGTTTGGTGGTGTTTTTGTTTTTTGCTTTTTTTAGGGGGGTAAGCAAAATGGAACCCCAGAAAGCAGGCCCCAAGAGATTCCTCTAAACCCCCGTGTTTTCCGGGACGACGCCCCGGCGAACCAAAGCCGGGACGTCTCTCTTGGCCCGGCCTCGCCAAGGATGCCCGGAACGCGCGCAGAGCCATGGACATGGGTGCCGTAGGTCATATGTCGTCTGTGGCTCATGCTTGAAACGTTTTGCATGTCTTGCGAATTGCTTTTGTTGATTTGTGCCACTGGAGGCTTGAAGTTTGTGTTTTTGCATCTAACTAACGAAGGCAAGCAGAAAAAAAAAAGAGAAACAACAAAAAAACACGGTTCGGGAAATGGAAGGTGTCCAAGGCCTTGAGCAGTGAGGACCTGCCAACCATGCCGTTGGGATCAAGACGCGGGCTAAACCGCATCCCGCAAGGATACCACAACTCATAACTCGGTTGTTAACTCTGCTTCGCTGCGACAAGTTTTTAATTTTTAGTGGTTTAGTACGGAAGGCAAAAAGTTATTCGGTCCTAACATCCCTTGGCAAAATGCACCAATGCATATGTGCCTCTGTGTGTCGCTCGAAATGAGATCCAAAGCCAAGGGGGAATGCCCCAAAAAACCACCCGCCGGACAGAAGGATGGTTGAGGCCGACCCAGCTTTGGGTTTTGAATGGACCTATGAGTTGGGGCCCTTCTCAGCGCTGCTCAGCTGCCGGTTGTGGGGCCTCCTTTTAACGCCACAGACCCAAACCATAGGAACCATTGGAAACCCGGAAATGGATCCATCCAGCTCGCAGCTTTGATCAGCCCAGCGGGTCATGGCTGAGCTAGGGTTCCCTATATGGCATGTTGTGTTTTGTGGCTTGGCGCACATCCAACATGGACGTACTTGCTTTATGCAAATCTAACACTGAGGTCCTCCCCCATGCCCGCATGTTCCTTTGAAACCTTGGTGGAAAGCGCATCAACGTTGGACACGGAAGGTGATGTCCAGGCAGTAAGGTTTGTCTCAAACATGGCGGATCCCTCCAACAACCGTGCGGTTTCCGGTCGTTTTCCCTTAACACACCACCCCAAAACTGGGCTATCCTCAAATCTCCTGATACAAGCTTAACTTTGAGCGGGAAAAATGGACACCCTGCTAAACCAACTAGAAACCTAAACGGCTGGGAGCCACCAAGAAAAAAGGGCGACCCTCAAACAAAAAAACAAACACCCGGGCAGAAAATGCTTCGATCCAAAGTCCGGCTGAAGACGCAGGACCTCAGCAGTAAAGCTGCGGTTGACCCCTCTGCACGTTTTCAATTTGTGGGTCGCATGGAGCAAACCGGAGCTGTTGCAACCAATAGCTAGTTAAAAAAAGATCCAACATCAATTCGTGAAGGGACATCTTTTGGCGTTTAGTTGAAAGCAGCGGGGCCCTACCACTTCATCTCCAGGAGGACTACCTTGGCCAATCGAAAGTGGCTCAAAACCATGTAAACCAAACCTGACTGCTGGTTCTACCCTTGGATTCACAAAGCTTGCGGCACACACCAGTTGGTAGTTTTACCAACCAGCATTCATAGGGTCACCTTGCAGAAATTGTGACAATCCACAGCATGTCTCCAAATCGTGGGCCGCCTGTTGGCCGCCTGTTGGCTGGCTGTTGGCTTTGGTTTGTATGAACAAGGGCAACCAGAAGGAAACGAAGCAGAAAAAAAGGGCGAGAACCCCCAAATGACAAGGGACCCTTTGCTGGAGATTAATGTCCGCCAGCCATCGTAAGTATGATCATTGTTGTAAAGGTTCTGGAGGCCTCACCAAGAGCCCCATGAAACCACGCAGCATAGCCTACTAGCTTGGTTCAATCGGTGTGCAGGCTGTGAATCGTAAGGGGGGGGGGCCTCACAGATGCTCGCAAGCTGAAACTCTATCTTTGGCGGTTCTGCTGGTGCCCTGGGCCCATGGGCCCTGGCCCCCTATGGTCCCGGGGCAAATGGAATGAGACCCATCTCAAACAGTGCCATCCATACTGTTGACCCAGGATTAATAAACCCGTCCCACTATTCGGGGGGTGTTCCCTCCCAAAGTGATGAATCCCCACTAAAAGGGGACACCCCCCTATTAATCAACCAGGGGTTTATTAATCCGGGGTTAACATTATTCAACCAGACTAACCTAAAAAGGACACCTAGGCCACCGGGTTCAACCCCCAGCAAACGAATGGCTGACCCAAATTGGATGGCGACAATCCTTAGGTAAACAAGGATGGTTTGATGAACCCCCGTTGGTTTTAATGGTAACCCCAGGCTATGCCTTTGGCCCCTCAGTTTATGCCTTCGCCTCCCAGCAGCCAGACACTCCAAATCTCAGAGCGCCAGCCGCCAGCTGCCCGGCAGCTGCCAGCCGCCAGCCGCCAGCGATCTGCGTCAAGAGCAGCCGCGCCAGCGAGCGCAAGCAGCTTGACAGCATGGCGCATCTCTTTGGGTGTTCAAGCAAGGGATCCGAGAGAAACACATGCTGGAGTTGTCCAAACCTGAAAGGACCCCATTCAAAGAAATGCTCAGCCAACAGGTGTTGCCTTGTTGCAGCTGTTATGCTCCCTGGTTCCGTTGAAAAAGGACAATTGCGTACCTTAACGTCCAATCTGAACGAGCTTCCCCTTCCAGAATCCGGCCAAAGAGCAGGGTTGCTCTTTTTGCTTTTCCCGGAGATCCCCAATAATTTACGAAGTTGACTAATCTGGGGTCGATATGAACATATGGATGCTGACAAGGGGCCTTTTCATCAAGACAAGTTCCTAAGGCCTTCAATCTACAGTTTCAATGGTCCCAATGGTAGTGGAAGAGAGTGTAAACATGTACCCAAAACATCAATGGAATTAGGTGCCGACATCTGACGTTAAGGATGATATCCTGGTTCTGCAGGGTAAACTGAATTCCGATTTGCCACCAAAGTGGTCTTGTCAAAGAGTGCCTCACGTCGTCGGGCAAGTAAATATGCCAAGCGACACAGCAATTCTAGCTCTACATGACCTTACCTTGTTTTGAACATGTTTCCATTGCAAAAGGGGTCAGCCCGTGTTCCCAAACAAGCACAGTTAAGACAAACACCCTCATGGCAACGTCTTCTTGGTAAATTATTTGAACCGCTCAGAAAGTCGAGGATTTCCCTTTAGGGGGCCAGTCTGGTACCAGCCCAACGTCCGCTGCCGGGGGCTTAAACATCCTATGCCTCGTTTATTTCCGAGACCTTCTCGTTGTGTTTTGGGATCGAAACAGGAGATCAACATGATGTCGGTGATTGCGGGTGTGTCTAGAAGGGAACCCCAGAGACAATTGACACAGTTGGCTTCCCCAATGTCCCGTTCGAAGCAACCATAGACTCACCCATTTCGCACCGAAGTCACTTCGCGCAAAGCCTCAGCCGTTTTTTTCTGAACGAAGTATTGGCTCACAAATGGCCAAATGTCCCATTGAGCGCATGGCATCACCGGGACGCGGCGACCGCGGCCTCGGTGCTAGCGCTTAGCTCAGTCCAAGGGGAGCCGATGGAAGTCGAAGGCCGGATTGAAAAGCCGGGCATTTGGTAGGCAAGTCAGATTTGGCCGCACCCGCGGAGAAACTGAAGTCTGGGCGTTTCAAGTGGTCATACTTGTCATATTCAAGTACGCAGAGGGCTTCTGATTGGTCCTGGGCATTCTGCCGGAACCTCAAAGGCTCAAAGCCTCGAAGGCGGGGCACAAAACGCATCGATCCGCGTTTCGAAGCGATCCGGCTGAAGCCCCGCCACGCATCTAGAGCGCTGCGTCAACATGCTGCTTGCCAAGGGCTTGGGCAGGTCTTATGTCCAGGGCAGCAGTCAGGCCGCATCGTTGGGGAAAAGCCAAAGGGGGCCGGCAGGGCTTGACATCGTTCACTTGCACGGTGCAAGTAGAATGAATCTGGGTGCTCTTTGCGGCCATTCCGTCCCTAACAATGGCTCTAATTGCGGTAAGCTGGAGTTCGAGCGCCAAGCCGAAAAGTGGGAAACAAGTCGAGGCTGGCCGAACTACGGAACTTCTGGCCATGGTCATACAGCATCCCCTCCTCCATGCCGCCATGTGGTTCTTCCAGGTCCAGGAATGTAGCAAGGACTAAATCACTAAACAAAGCGGGCATGCATGCGGTCGCTTTGCACGCCGACGCTCAGAAGCCACGGCGTGCCCTTGACGTCTCATTGGCTTCAAATGTTCAAGCTGCAACATGTAACGCATCACGTGGGCAAGCTGCTGCAGCAGCTAGGCTCTCCAATTGCTTGGCAAGCAGCCGTCACTCATTGCTCCTGCCACATATCTATCACTCTGCGCCTCAAGTCACGCAGCTCATTTTTGCAAGCGCGAGCCTGAGGCAGTCATGATGTCATATGAAAGCTCGCGCCTGCTGAAAACGTTTGGCACGTATCAGTGGCAAACAATGTCCGCGACTCCCGCTGCAAGGCCTCATGCAAAAGTATGGGACCTGGGGCTCTGGGTGGTTTTCATGAGCTCCAGTTACTTTGGCCATGCTAGCGATGCTAATACGCACGTTGGGACGGCTGCATAAGCTCAGTCGCTGTCTATATGTCCTTCTAGCTGGCAGGCTTGTGTTGCAATTCTGCCCAAGAAGAACTTCACAACTTGAGTACACTTCAACTCGCAGAAAGCATGTGCCTCATGCACTTCACGGCGAGTTCCAGCTTGTTTGAGGCAGTCAAGAGTAAACAGCGAGAAAGGCATATTGCTTGCTCCCGGAGGCCGGAGGCCGGTCGAGAGTCGCAGCGTTGCCGAGCAATTGGCTCCAGCACAGGTCTGAGATCACGACCAAAAGACACGGCGGCTACAGCACTACGATGAGCAGGGTCCCTTCAAGATTTGCCGTCGGGGATCCCAAAGGCAAGCCATTTGGGTGGTTTCCCCAATCTAAGTGCACCTCCTGTTGGTTAATACAGCCACCACCTGGCCTCGAGCCGCGGTCACTGCAACCCTGACTGCCTGGACCCCACACGCGAAGCACAGGCGCTGCGCAATCATTCTCATTGACCTAATGCCAATGTGGCCCCTGCGAAAAGAAAAAGTGGCCACGCGTGGAATTCCCGGGGCCAAATTCCCATGACTTACAAGGTGTCTCGCGGGCCGGTGGGACGCCAGCCTCACCAGCCTCGCGAGTCAGGAGTCCGGACTGTCGCAAGGACCTGGAATACAAAAGCGCAGCTGGAGCCTTGGGGTAGAGGGTCACTTCGCCTGCGATTGGCGCGGATGTCCACTTTGGCCATGTGCATTGCTAGCGAGCCGCGGTCTTGGCTAAGACTTTGACTCGCGCGCGGCCCGAGTATATGGACAAGTCCTGCAAAGAGCACATCTCTCGGCCGTTCAAGTGCTCAAGTGGCAGGACTTTGGCTTTAAAAAAGTTAACATTGAATCGTGGACCCGGAGAACAGGAGGGTGTGGTTGGGTCAAACCTCACACAACTTCCCCACTGAACGTACCGGTGACACGCTGCGGCAGCCCAACGCCCCTCATGTCGAGAAAAGCCTGGCCCAGAGTCTCTTTTGCAAGGACGTCTACTCTAGCCAGGTCATGCATCACCCCCTCCTCGATGCCAACATGTGTTGGTTGTTGACCCGCTGCCTCTTCCAGGTCCAGGAATGTAGCAAGGACTAAATCACTAAACAAAGTGGGCATGCATGCGCTCGCTTTGCACGCTGTTGTCCGATGCGACGCTCAGAAGCCACGGCGTGCCCTTGACGCCTCATTGGCTTCAAATGTTCAAGCTGCAACATGCAATACATCACGTGGGCAGGCTGCTGCAGCAGCTAGGCTCTCTCCAATTGCTTGGCAAGCAGCCGTCACTCATTGCTCCTGCCACATATCTATCACTCTGCGCCTCAAGTCACGCAGCTCATTTTTGCAAGCGCGCGCCTGAGGCAGTCATGATGTCATATGAAAGCTCGCGCCTGCTGAAAACGTTTGGCACGTATCAGTGGCAAACAATGTCCGCGACTCCCGCTGCAAGGCCTCATGCAAAAGTATGGGACCTGGGGCTCTGGGTGGTTTTCATGAGCTCCAGTTACTTTGGCCATGCTAGCGATGCTAATACGCACGTTGGGACGGCTGCATAAGCTCAGTCGCTGTCTATATGTCCTTCTAGCTGGCAGGCTTGCGTTGCAATTCTGCCCAAGAAGAACTTCACAACTTTCGTGAGCTTCAACCCCCAGAAAACATGTGCTTCATGGCGAGTTCCAGCTTGATCGAGGGCTTAAAAACAAACAAAGAGCCAGGCAGCTCGCTTGCTAGGCAAGCAAGCAATGCGCTCGCGCGCAGGTCTAAGATCATAGCCAAGGTAGCGGGCAACTAACATCACAGCAACTGAGACCGCGTTTTTGGCGTGGATTCCGCGTGTGTCACCAGGGCCCCGTCCTTTGACCTGCAAGCGTGCCATGTATGCAAACCCAGCCTTGAGGCAAACAACTTCGTCCACTTTGCTCTGGCTGACTTTGCAAAAGGCCGAAGTGTAACTTGGACGTGCCATCCCATGCACCGGCTGAAAATAGAGGTAGGCCAAGCAGGTGGGTAGAAAGCCCCTCGCCCCAGCCTTGTAAGCCGTCCGTTGGTTGGCGGCAACCGGTGCGTGGCAAAAGGCGTCTCGCATGAGGGTTGGCTGGATGCGGTGAATCCCCGACTTCCTTCATTGGCTGAAGGGCCAGACATGGTGACGGCTTTGACCATCGTCAGCAGCGGCTTCAAAACTCATTGCCGCTGGTTGCTTCACGCTGGGCCCCAACTCCACGGTTTCGGCGCCGCATCATCTCACAAGGATCTGGCAAACTAAGCTCCTGATACAAGGGTCCCGTGACTGGTGTGCATACAGCGCGCTGGTCCAAACCTGGACATCATAGGCAGAGCTTTTCCGGAGACGAGGCGGAGAACTTGTGCATGCCGCTACAACCATCAAGGTGTTCCTGTCACGGCGCCCTGTGCCACTTGTGGAGGTCGCTGGGTGGAGTTCGCCGGCCTCAGCATTTTCCTCTTTTGCATATCCACAGGTGGTCTTGCACCGCCTGGCACGTGGTGAAAGCTGAGCCTGCACCCGGTACAAGAATGAAACCTCCATTGGGCGCTCGACCCAGGCCAGCGCTTGAGTTACTGAGTTGCGCATCATTGGCCAAGCGTCTCACGTTGAAACACACTGAAGGCTCATGCAACGCAGTTGAGGTAACTGTACCGCAACCTCTGCACACTCACGAACTCTTGCACCGTCAAGCCGACAAAACACTCTCGCCTGATGAATGCATGGTGTCTCTCTTTAAGGCGACTGATGATGTGGGGTATTGCTTCGGCAAAGGCGTTGCTGACATGGCAATCTGGGGGATGTATACTTCACCAACCTCTTGAAACAAGGGATCCCTAAGGCCCTAAGGAAACTTCATAGCTGAAACGGTCACAAACCAAGGCCCACAAGGCAAGGTCACCATTTGACTTGAGAAGCATGCGTTGTTAGCCTGGGCGCCGGGCGCCTGGTGTCCATGACACTTAATCAGCACCCAAATCACCAGGCTGAACCCAGCGCTCAATTTGAAGCCTCACACGGAGGTTCGATCTGATCAGCCGAGCTAGTCACAGCCCAGGCAACATGACATCCGCATGCGAGACGGTAGGCTGATCTCCTTTGGGGGCGCTATCACACGCAAGGCGCTCTTTTGCACGTCTGTGCAGCTTGTAGGGCTGATCGAAGCCTGGCTGCCTGCCGGCTGCAGAACCCCTGGCAACATGGTCTGTCGTCGGCTGCTTCAATCAGTTGGGCTTCACAACCAGCTGCTCGCAACGTGGCGGGCAATCCAAGCTCGCTCCAAGTCAAATGGCGGTCAACCTAGCCAGGAGCATGACATCACGTGCGCAGCAAGTTGGAAGGATTCAGCATTAAGCTGGAGTGAAATCAATTTCCCTTTTCCGCAGTCGACCTTCTGCAACTGTCACCATGTCACTCGACCAATCCAGAGGCAGTCCAGGGCTCTGGCACCCAATTTCCCCATCCCGCGCCCCAGAAGCTTGGGCGGCTGTCTGACCTTCTCCGCTCAGAAAAGCCAAAGCGCTTCTGCCCACGTGCGGCCAGCGAAGCATCGGTCTCTGCGACCGCGCCCATGGCAAGCCTTCGTGGTGCCGTGGCTTCACCGCAGCTCAAGGGGCCCTTTGACAGCTCAACGTACTACATGGGACGTGCACCCATTGGCCTGTGCCCGTGTCGCAGGCAAATCTGAAACCAAGCTGCAGATCCTGAACTTGAAAAGCCATGGGCCTTGAGTCACGTGCAAATCTTTCACCAGTGCCAGGAGGTTGCTCTTCAATGGAGAGGCAAAGCCAAAGTCTGCCATGATTGGCTCAGAAACTCAAAACACCGGATGCCGGACACAGCGATCACCCCAACTGCGCCTTGCCTCCTGCCAAGCCAGGCCGGGTAGCAATTGGTGCGATTTGGCCAATATCATTGCGTCAGAGGCGCTGAGGGGGACATTTGGCAGTTGCAGGCGCAAAAGCGGCGGCGCCCAAAGCAGGATTCGGAATCCATCCTCTATTGGCCACTTTGACCATTGATCGAAGATCCAAGATGGCTAATCACCCGCAGGCATCAAAAGGCGCATGGCTCGGGACATGCCAACCTGCTGCGGAAGCTGAGTCGACGCCATTGGTGGCATTCAGGCAGCACTTGAGGCATGGTAGAATGAGCCGTCGTCACGGCATGGCCACGTGTCACAACAGTTGGTCAGCTTGGATCACGCACTTTGGGACCAGCGGGTCGACCCACGGCCTGAAACAGCTTGAAGCAGTGGCTGAAGGAGCGCAGGATCCGAAAGCGGCGGTTAGAGCGCATTCCTCAGCAGCCAGAAGAGATGCTGGATCCGGAGACTGAGGGGGCAGTTGAAGCCAATGACAACGAATCACTTGGACTGCAAGGATTCCTGGAGCCCATGGCTTCCGGCGACCTTCCACTGGGAGGGCTGCGACAGACCGACCGTGCCAAGCACACAAGCGGTACGCTGCGTGAGTGCACTAAACAAGCAACACATGAAGTCAACCGGCGCCGTCATGGAAAGCGCTGTGGTCATGGCAAGTGGCGCAGCCATGGCATCCGGGGGATGAATGCAGGCTGTGATCATTGCGAGGTCATCACTCCGCCAGTCGCGGCTCAGAAATCTCACCCCGAGTCCTCGCACTCGGGGGTGCGGCGGTTTCACAGTTTCTGCGCTGGCCACGCGGCATGCAAATGGAGCGACTGGATGCTGTTCAATTGCACGGGGCTCTGGAACGTCCAAGGCCACATTCGCCCGTCCTATGCCGAAGGGGATCCTCAAATCTTGGGAAGACTTCCCCGTTCATCCAATCCTGGGCCATTGCGATGGGAGGCAACGAATGCATATTTCCACTTCTAAGTCTTGGCTTCATTTTCCAACAAGCCCAGAAGTTTGAGCCTCAGCGTATACAAGAAGCCCTGGGCAAACATGCCCACGTTTCTCATCCGGCAATCCTCTCCCTGTATTCCAGCACACAGCAATGCGCATCTTGTTGGTTGCGGCATCGCAGATTTCCTTTCCCCGTCACCGACGCCTTCCTGCCGGCAAAACACAATGGCAACACTCCGACTCGCACCATGCACTTTGGCCCCACACACACATGCCTGTTGTCGGCCGCTCTGCTTTGATTCGCTAAGGCGCCAATGCGGCTCATGGCACCTCAAGCAACGCCTCGGCATTGGCCATGTCCCTGCAAGGCTCCATCACAAAGAAGCTCACCATTCACTTGGCGTCCAATTTGCGTGTGGATTGTGTCAGGCTGAAGCGTATTTGCAGATCATCACTCCGAGGCAATTGTGTTGAAGCAACCCGCCAAAGGACGCTTCAAATGACACACATGGCTGAGGGCCTTTTGCAACAGCATCAATGCGACAGCATGTGCTGCCCGAGCTTAGCTCAACACTGAGCATCGTTTGGCGCGCTCCCCCCAATGTGCTGGCTTAGCTTCTCACTTGCACATGCAAAACATGTGAGGATGGCAAGGAGGCTTGCGTCAGTGGGGAGCTTCATGCAGTTTGGCATTGGTTGGCTGCTTGTTTCGAAAGGCAATGCAGGTTGCAAACCTGGCAGGACAGAAGCGAGAGAAGTGAGACCACACAGCGCAAGAGCACAAGCTTCTGCACGTATCATCTGGCATGACCGTGCGTGTCTTTGAGGACTCTGCAGTTGCACACGGCGCCTCTGAGCCTGGAATGCTATGAGTGGGGGACTTCACCTAGGGAAACTGGCAACACAGCTGTGGCATCATGCTGAGCTCGGGCGACGGGGACTGATGGCTGAGATTGCTGCGAGTCAAGTAGCTCATCTCCTGCTGTACCAGCTTGTCTTGTTTGCTGTACGTCAAAGGTCAAAGGCCAACATCTCCGGTTAGCACCGGCGCAGCAATGTCAGGAAGCCGCTGCCTTTTGTGCAACTCCCGACATGAGGAGCCAGCATAACCCACGGCAAGGAAGGCGCAGACGCTTCGCTCAGCGCACCCTGGCTGGAGTCACTGGATGTCTGCAAGAATTGCAATTTCCTTGTACGAAAGACGTACTTTGGGAGGCCCAAAGGACATGGAAGGACTGCACTCTGATCCTGGACGACTTGGGGCCTATGCTGATGCCTTCCTGAGTCTCAAGTTCAAGCCCTTTGGTAGCAGGTTGGCAGCTTGGGGTTTCATCTTTGCGGCTGCCATGCAGGCTCATGACAATTTACGCTGCCGTGGCCGGCCGTTGCAAACATTGCTTCCAAAGCACCATCACAAAGAAGCCCCCAGTTCACTTGGCGCCAATGAGCATCCTTCTGAGTTTGAGGCAACGCTTGCCATAGCGACCTGCCAGGCATTCCAAACACCACCGCCAGCTGATGACCTTTTGCAAGGGCATCATTGCCACAGCAGTTGCGTCCCAAACAAAGCTCACCACACATCGTTCTGTCGCATGAGCGCAGCAACCTTACTGTTTGACCAGGCTGGGACAGTATGTTGGCTTGGCTTTGGTCCCGCAGCTGCAAACCATGTGGCGATGGCTTGCCGTCATCTTGCCTCGGCGGGGGCACGCGTCATGCAGTTCCGCTTGCATCAGTTGGCTGCTTCCGCCAGTGGCTGTGAAGCTGGCGGGCTCCTGGCAAGTCAAGCAACGGCTCGAATTGCGTTGGCCATGCAAGCCTCCATCACAAAGAAGCTCGCCATTCACTTGGCGGCCAATTTGCGTGTGGACTGTGTCAAACTGAAGCGCCTTTGCAGATCATCACTCCGAGTCTGGGGCGACTTGTGCAAAAGCAACCTGCCACAGGACACACCAGGAAGAGGGCCTTGTGCAAACGAATCATTGAACCGACATGTGCTCTCCCCACTTGGCAGCTCAACACCTAGCATCCCAACGTCCCGCCACCGCCAATATGTTGGCTAGCTTCGTGAAGCTGTAAAGCGGTGGCAAGGCTTGCATCAGTGGGGAGCTTCACACTGGGTGTTGATGGGCTGCTGGCCCCCAAAGAAGTGCAGGTTGTGAAGGCGGCAGGGGCCACCTGGGCCACCTGGGCCACCTTGGCCACCTGCCTAGCGGCCATCGCATGTGCTGCACGTACGATCAGGCACGCGAGGTGAGGACCCTGCAGTTGCGCAGGGCGCCTCTGCTTCTCTCTCAAAATTAGCCTGGGGTGCTATGAGTGCGGAGCTTCACCTGGGGAAACTGGCAAAATAGTTGGGGCATCATGCTGCGCTCAGCCGGCGGGCACGGATGATCTCCTCTTGCGCCCGCTTCGCACGTCAAAGGCCAACATCTCCAGTCAGCGCTGCAGCAATGCAAGGAAACCGCTTCTTCTGATCCCATTACCTCCAACACTCGAAGCCAGAATGGCCCCCACAGTCTGCGATGATTGCAAGTGCTCACCTCTTCGATGGTGAATTGAGGCGTCTGTGCAGCATCCTTCAGGATGACAGGCAAACTGGAACTTCAAATGGGAAGCGCCTAAGGCTGATGCGGCGCTATAAGAACAAAAAGACAAGCCGCTCAGCCTCTTGCGATCTCTTGCACCTTGGCTGGTTGGAGAAAAAACACTTTCCAACATGTTCAACAGGATTAATCTGATGTAAACAAACACCTGCTTGCATGGTGAACGCTCTCTGACCTTGTCTATGCCGGAACTTCTCCTCGAAAAAGTGTTTCCCACACAACTCCTGCTGGCACTTGTGGTGTCACTTGAACTCGGAATACACCTGACTTGCCGTAAGCACTTTATCACCATGGTCTTACACACGCATACTTCAGGTGTTGGCAGGTTGACAGCTCGCCTTGTCTTCTTTGATGCCAGGCTCATGGCACCTCAAGCAACGGCTCGGCATTGGCCATGTCCTTGCAAGGCTCCATCACAAAGAAGCTCGCCATTTACTTGGCGTCGCCGATGCGTGTGGATTGTCTCACACTAAAGCGCATTTGCAGATCATCGCTCCGAGGCAAATTTTGTTGGAGCAACCCGCCAAAGGACGCTTCAATCGAGACACCCGGCTGAGGGCCTTTTGCAAGAGTATCATTGGAACGCGATGTGCAGCCCACACTTGGCAGCTCAACACTGAGCATCTCAACGTTTGGCGCGCTCCGACTGATATGATGGCTTAGCTTCGGACTGGCACGAGCAAAACATGTGGCGACGAGAAGTAGGCTTGCATCAGTGAGGCTTGGCATTGATTGGCTGCTTTCGCAGGGCAGCTGCGAAGCTGGCAGGAACCAAATGGTGAGCGGCCGAGCGCAAGCTTCTGCACGTAGGTATGACGACGTCAGGATCTGAGGACTCAGCAGTGGCGCTTTGGCGCCTCCGATTAAGTGGCGAAGAAACCGGGATCCTGTGCCTGAGAGAAACTCACCTAGAGCGCACTGGCAGCAAAGCTGTGGCATGCTGCACCCAGCATGCGGGCACTGATGCCGGACAGTGCGCCGAGCAAAGCAGCAGGCATCGCTTGTTGAACCTGTTTCAACGCACTTCAGAGGCAAACATCATCAGTCAGCGGCGCAGTACTGCCAAGAAACCGCTGCCTTTGGTGGCACTTCTGACGCCTGACGCCTCCTACAGTCTGGCTAGATCCGTGCAAGCACTCACGTCCTTGACCTAGGTGTGCTTTGAGGCTTCTACGGACCACACTGAAAAGGTTGCTTTCGCTGTATTTCATTCACATTCACACTGGGAGATTGAAGTGGGGATAACAGTGCGCATGATCCTGGTGCGCTTCGGAAAAGCCAGCCTCGTGCTTCTTTGCGCGGCTGGAAAACAACCAACGCTTTCCAACATGCCTAAAAGGCTTGATCTCGTTTCAGCGAACACCTTGCATGCCGAAAGCTCTACCTCTATGCAAGACGTTCTCAGAACGGCTTCCCGGTCCAAGCCCCTCCGTAAAATGTGCATGGACTCAGGCTTTTGCTGGCAACTTTGGACATTTGTGTTGCTTTGCAGTTGCGCAGTTCGCCTTCCAAAACTGAATGCGGGATGCGTCTGACTGGCCTCATGTACTTTGGTCCTAGCACACGTAATCGAGTGCTAGCAGGTTGGCGGCTTGGCGCTCATCTTTGTTGCGGCTGCCATGCAGGCTCATGAGAATTCACGCTGCCGTGGCCGGCCGTTGCAAACATTGCTTGCAAAGCACCATCACAAAGAAGCCCCCAATTCACTTGGCGCCAAAGAACATCCTTCTGAGTCTGAGACAACTTTTGCCAAAGCAACCTGCCGTGCTTTCCAAACATCACAGCCAGCTGATGGCCTTTTGCAAAAGCATCATTGCAACAGCAGTTGCTGCCCAAACAAAGTTCAACACCTACTGTGCTATTCTCTCGCACGTCCGCAGCACGCCTACCGTCCGGCCAACCCTGGGCAATATGCTGGCTTAGCTTCTCACTTGCACATGCAAAACATGTGAGGATGGCAAGTAGGCTTGAGTCAGTGGGGAGCTTCATGCAGTTTGGCATTGGTTGGCTGCTTGTTTCACAAGGCAGTGCAGGTTGCAAAGCTGGCAGGACAGAAGCGAGAGAAGTGAGACCACGCAGCGCAAGAGCACAAGCTTCTGCACATATCATCTGGCATGTCCGTGTGTGTGTGTGTGTCTGAGGACTCTGCAGTTGCACACGGCACCTCTGCTTCTCTTTCAAAAGTCCTGGCATACTATGAGTGGGGCACTTCACCTAGCGAAACTGGAAGCACAGCTGTGTCTTCATGCTGCGCTCGGGACACGGGGACTGATGGCTGAGATTGCGGCGAGTCAAGTAGCGCTCATCTCCTGCTGCACCAGCTTGTCTTGTTTGCTGTACGTCAAAGGCCAACATCTCCGGTCAGCACTGGCGGAGTAATGCTAGGAAGCCGCTGCCTTTTGTGCAACTCCCAAGCAAAATCCACTGCCACATTTCGTTTTGTGGCCTTCTGGCAATCAAGCTTCCGCAGCTTCGCATCTCATTGGGCTTGTTTTTGGAAAGCGCACACGCGCCGCTCAGCACATCCTGCCAGAAGTCACTGGCTTTCAGGAGTTGCAATTTCCCTGTGCGCTTCAATGATTTGTACTTGATTTACCACTTTGGGAGGCCCACAGGATCCTAGCCGGCTTGGCTCGGCGTATCATGCCTTGGCCTCTTGCCTTCCCAAGTCTCAAGTCAAGCCGCGTGAATTCCTCTTTGGCCAAGCGCGCCCTTGTGATGCCTCAATGCGACCGCTGACCCCAAGAGCAACTGAAGGCAAATGTAGCCCTAACAAACTTCTGGTGTCCTGTTCTTGTGTTTGCTTGTTTGCCTGTTTGTCATGTTTTGCGCCTGCTGTAGCCGTTTTGGCCCCTGGCGCCGCAGCCTCACGCCCTCCCTCGGCCCCCTCGGAGCGAGCTTTCCGCGCGGAGGGGCGGTCAGCGGCGTGTCATGGGTTCGTGCGTCCGCACTCGGGCGCTCCGTCCCCGCAAATTCGAGATGTCGGAGTTGCGAATTTCGGAATGAAGATCGCCGCATCAGATCGCAAGCGGCTTGCTGTGAATGTCAGGGGTTGCCAGCATCAGTAAGAAGCACCCTTATGAAGTCTGCAGTGAACAATCACTCAAGCGTTCGGCCATGTCTTCTCCGGAGCAATCCCGAGGTCAGGCGAGCCACTAGGTCACCAAGAAATCATTCCTTCCAGCAGGCATGAGGGAATGGAGAAACGAGCCCCCAGTTGACCCAAATCACAGCACCACACGCTTCACCCGGTGCCTCACAGCGCTGCACCTTGGCCAACACCCTGATTTTTGGTTCAAAGGGCCACCCTACGGGCTTCCAAATCTAGGAGTGGCCATCCATTCCAAGAATTTGCCAATCCCCTCTCGCCACATTGCCTGGCTCAAAGCATCGAGTCCACTTGCAAACGGCTGGGTGGCTTGGGTCTTCGCAACTCGAGGCCAAGCCCATGGGACCAGACCTGACTTTTCTCTGGCCTTTGAGCGTAGAGTTGCGTTCCTGTGAAAAGGCCACCCCAAACGCCCGAAGGTCTGGGCATACAGCGCTTGAGTCGTATGCTCAAAACGTTTTTGCAGATTTGAGCACGCCGGACGCTTGTCGGTGCAGATAGGCTCAACCGGCCACGATTCGGAGCCAGTGGCGCACGCCGATGCTTTGTGCCGCACTTTTTCAAGAACACAGCACCACGCCAGGATCCTTCACTGGGGCCCTCAGCACCCCAATATGTTCACGCGTGCCACGCAAATCTCTGCAACTCATGGCACTTAGCACCTGGGCTGTACCGAGCGCTGCGATCCCAGACCCTCCCTGCGCTCTGGGTCTAAGCCGACTCCTCCGTTAGCACTTGGCAGAGTTGGCAAGCTGCGGCGCATTGCAACAAGGCTCCATCACAGAGGTCCCGATTCACTTGGCAGCACTCAGGGGATCAAGGGAGTGTCTCTTCGCAAGTTGCATTTTACTCACTGGCTCCGAGGAAACAAACGCCCAAAGGGAGATTGGAGCACCTATTGCCCTCGCCGGTTTAAAACCCAAAGCAGGTCATTGCACGCCCAGTGAGAGAGCTGGCACTGGGTGAAGCTACTTGCTTGCCTCGGTCTTGGACGTCCCGCCACTCTCACCTTCCGACTGCGCGCGCAAAGCTGTGAGTCCTGGTCACGTCCGGGGCAAAGCTGTGGCGCGACACCAGCTCTTCGCTCGGCTTTCTATGGGGGCGATGCCATGATGCGATGCGGCCGCGTCAATTCGTCAATGCTGCTGGCCACTTGAAAGTGGACATTGAGAAAGGTGCGAATTGATTAATCTTCCATTTAGGGCCCCCAATGGCCATGGGAAACTTTTCCCATGTGCTTGAAATAACAACTCTTTTTGGTGGTTTTCCAACCAATGGTCCTCCCCTGCATCCCGCACCTGATCATCCAGGTGCAGAACCTGGGTGGCTGCCGGCGCCTTGCCCGCTCACGTCGCTCCGGCCGAAGGATCCGGCTATGCCTCACTCGGCCAAGTCTGAAATGCAGCTGGCCCTTGGGACCCAAGGGGCCCACCCAAGATCTCACCTTGGCGAGCTGACGCAAGTAGCTTAGGGATCTTAGGCCTCGAGGCAGCAAGTATTTACAGCGCACTCTTTAACACTTGTGTGTTCCAAGGCACGCAAAGCTTCCACTCAACAGGTTGCCAGGGATGAATGGTTCATTGGATGAATTGTCAAAAGCTCCTTGAATCCGTCGCTGTACGCTGCGTGAATGGTCAGGACGCCTGTGAAGCGTTTCTCCTGCGTCTCCTTCAAACCTTTGAGCAGCGGAAATAACAGGGGCCCCAGCCATCTTAGCCTCTTGGGGTTGGTCGCAGGGCTCTCATCCAGCCTCTCACACTACAGATCCGACTCCCGTCACGTGGTGCCAGGCGCGGCAAGTCTCCGACTTCAGATCCTTCGTGGGGCCTCCACTCTGCCAAAAAGGAGCCGACACTTGCGAGCCGTCGGCTTCCGAAAACCCGGGCAGAGCCTTTGGACCTGGATGGCCCTCAGCCGATTCAGGCGCAGAAGCCAGGAGAGCCTGAAACCTTGACAGACGCCTGCACGCGTCCAAACGCGGCCTATGCCACAGGCTCTTGAAGCCAGAGGCGACCCGCCAAAGCCGCCAGCGCGGGCGAAGCCGAAGCCGCGATCCCGGAACCGATCCCATGAAGGGTCCGGAACTGGGTCATCTTCAGAAGGCAAAGGCAAAAAACAGCTGGCCTCTCCAAACTGCAGATTCGCAGCCCCAGGACTGCAACAAGATCTGCGGCTACTACGAGGAGTCACTACACTGTGGATGCTTCATTCGTGCGGACCTGGTACTACCTGCCGCACGGCCTTTGACCTGCCAGGCTGCTTAAGACGCACGGCGCACGCCAAGTTTCCGACCTAACTCAAAGCTGTCAAATAGGTACGGCAGCGTAGCGGCACGGCTTCCACTTTGAGTTGCAACAGCCAACGCAAACAAATGGCGTGCAACGCTGCGCCATCTGAGCGCAATCTTCATCTAGGTGCGACATGCCAAAGTCACGTGCCCTGCCCTAGATTCCAACAAGCTGACATGTGCAAATCTCCGGGCGGACATGCAAAGACCGGTGAAGACTTTTGCTCTTCCAAGCCAAAAGGCACGCAGGACACACCAGTTGCGCAGTGGGACTTTGGCAAGGTGTGTTTCAACGCTGCTTGCTTCACTCAAGCCCGTGTCGGAGATATATGTTAAGCAACTGGAAGCCACTTACACTGATCGCTTGTGACTAAGACGCTGCCTAGGCTCCCCTCTGATCCGGGAATGTGCTCAGCGCAAGAGGGCTCCAAAGGCCCTGAGACAAATCGGGGCAAGGCGTAGGGTGGCTTCTGCGGTTTGCCAAAGGGAGCGGGTGCCCGACGCCGGAAATGTGCTCGAAGGATCTAAAGGTGCTTTTCAGCCAGGATCAAAGCGATTCAAGCTTATGTTCCCACACGGCGAGCCACCTTCCTGAGGATGCGGCTAGCTCGGAAGCGCAGCCGGATAAGCTGGAAAGCCTTGTGCTGAGTCTTGAAGATATGGCTGGCCAAAGCTTTGTCAACCTTAGCTGCAAAGCCACGCAAGCTTTGCAGGCAAACGCTTTGGCTTGGGCGAAGCGCTATGTGTCGCACCTCAGGGAGCACTTCAAAGACCAGCCATGATGGCGATTGCTTCCCGCGAAACATCTGCAGTTCAGTTCACGTCAGCCGTCGAACGCGACCCCGTTCGCGTCTGCATTTCACCGGCCACCTTCCGTCCAGGTGGTTTTTCTCAGGGAGCAAGAGCTGGTAGGCCCCGCAGCATGTATGCTTCTCAGGTGAAAAGGTTGCCAGTCCCCAGCCCGAAAGGCATGAGGCCGACTTCCATGCAAGGCGCTCACTTGGATTTCGCCCTGCGCCAGGCAGGCAGGCGAATCCGGGCACTCATTGCCTTCCAGGCGCTGGCCGGTGAGTCAAAGTTGCTGATGTGAGTGAAGGGCCCATCTCAACCACCCGTTCATAGACTCGCCGTTCGGCATGCCGACAAATCATTCACGCTTTAGTGGACATGTGGAGGTTTGAACCCAAGATCGATACGTAAGTCACATGCATGAGACACAAACAGCCCTGACGCCACTGCAATTTCTAAGTCTCCGACGTCAAAGCCCTGGCCCCCACTTACCTTCTCAAGGCGGCTTATGGCAGATCTCTTCTCCGAAAGCACCTGGCCGAAAGCCGCGTGGAGCCGTCCGGCGGCACGCCCGGCCCGGTTCAAGCGAAGGCCAAGCCGATTCTTCCGAATCCCTTTTGAGACGTGACAAACGGGACGAAACTCTGAGACGCAAGGAACTTTCAAATTGCCAGACTGAGCAGCCTCTACATGCTAACAGGTGCTAACACCTCAACTTGTCCGAAAATAGGAATTGGACCCCCACAGGAAAGACTAAGAACCGCTTTCAATCAGCCCAGCCCATTGCCTTCAATCAGCCCGGCCTATGTGCATCTTGCTGAAGTGTGGTATCCGTGCGTCATGTACACCCGGACGCGCCCCTCACTCTGGACTGGGCGGTCAGCTCTTTCCACTCAAGGCCAGGGGCAGGGTCGCCATCGCCAAGGGCCAGGGATCAGCCGCGCACACAAAGCTGCCGTGCGCGAGCGCGAGCGCGTGAGCACGACGCGAGCGCGTCAAACTGTGTCAAAGCTTTGAGTCGCCAAGTTCCAAGAACTGCGAACCAGGGCAACGCTCACAGGGGTGTGGCGCTCTTATGGTTTGCACCCTAAAGGGTTGCATCGGGGCTTGGCATGCAAAAGCCGGCCCCTGGTCATGTGATGGCTGACGGGTGTCAAAAGGCCATATGTTGAGGGCACGGTCTCATGAGTTATGCTTTAGCCAGGTAGGACAGAAGAGGTAGAGCGAATGGCAAACCATGTGCCAAGTGTAACTTTAGGTCTTCAAATGAAATATTCAAGTGGATGGGCCACAAGCGGGTTCATCTCAGGTGCAAAACGCTCGAGTGTATGAAACCGCTTGCGTCGCGTGCATCTCACAAGTTTCGCCATTCCAAACCCTTGCTATTCAAGCAAACCCTTTGGCTTCCGCGCAGCCTTGTGTAAGCTGGGCGCCTGCACTTTAGCGTTGTCGCTTCATATCAACATCCCCCTCGCCCCGTCCCCGCCAAGCCGGGCGGCACCGGGGTGACGCATAGGCTCACTCGACTGCTCGCTGGCCAAGCTCCATGCGTATCGCGGAAGGTTTCTCCGAGCCGAGCGCGCTATGGAAGCTCAATGGATACAGCTCCGAGACCTGCGGGGCCTGGGGCCTGGCTTGCTACCTGTCCATCCTGCTCTAATCTACATTCCCTCAACGAAATGTCCGCCGTCCGAAGCTTGGCTCATGCAAAGTGAAGCCCCCACACTCCACCGGCTCTTGTGAATTTGGGAAAGAAATGGTCGACCTGGTCCAGGGCCACGCGAAACGACCGCCAGGAAACGCCATTTGACATACTGACACTTGCCAGGAGGGCGTTTTCCCGGATCTCTTTGCCTGCAGGACGCTTGCCAGATCTTACCCCCTGAATTCAGTGCCTTGGTGGCTGGCCTGCGTTTGGCGCGCAGTCTTGCTGGCCTTTGGCCGTGGGTCCATGGCCGTGTTGCCACGCGCGCAACTGAACCGCCTCAACTCGCTCCGCTGGCATCACCCCGAAAGCCCGGCCGTGAGACTCTGATCCAGATCCATCACTCCCCAAGCAGATCGGTTTCCACTTTTCGAGGCCAAACTGGCAGCTTGCCGAACAGGACAAGTCCTAAGTGGTGTTTTGCCTTGAAGCTTCGGGGAAAGCTGAGCCGCCTGGGGCCAGGCAGGATGGCTGATCGGTGGCACTTGCTTCGTCTCACCTTATGCGGGTCAACAGAGGCTTGCTCTCAGGGAGAGCTTGGCCGGAATGCATCGCCATGCCGCCGGCATGTCAGCAAAGCCGGGCAACCCTCCAAACGCGATGCAATGGCGGGAACGCGCAACAAGAGGCCTCTTGCCCCCGGCCAAGAATTGCACCTCCGGGTGTTGAGCGCAAAAACATCAAGATGTGTCACAATTATCCGAGGTTTGGCACGTCAGGGCTGCGCATCTGCAGCCAAAGCCCCAACAAATACCATGGGGGCACCCATCAGCTCAGCTTGCCCTGGGGTGTGTGGGGCTTTGCTTCATGCTACGTCAATGCTTGCTCTCGGCTTGAAGAATACCGCAATCCTTCAGCACCGAATGAGCCTCCTTTGCCAAGCGCAAGGGCCCAGCGCCAGACGCCATGCTGAGGGACCATCTGTCCTCTATCCCGGCCATTTGCCATGTGTAATTACACACTCCTCACAATCATTTGGGAAATGGTTGGTCAGCTCCGCATTCCCAAGCACTCTGTGACGATGCTTTGAATCAAGTCCACTCGTCCCAACTGGCTTGGATGTCGCCGTTCACGTCCAACGTCCTCGTTCTGGTCATGCCATGGAGTCTTTGTCCATGCTCCGATTTCAACATGTCCTACTAACCCGCAAGTACAAAGACAAACATGTTTCTAAGATAGCAGCCATGCATGTTGTTGCTCTGTTTCTGCAAAATCTTGCTGACACCGTTCACGAAACATGATGAAGCTCTACTTCCTTTGCCTGCAGTTGAAGAAACTTGGATACTTACTCTATGTGCACATGTACAGACTCATGCCTTCTTCTTCTTCTTCTGGTGGAAGACTTGCGGCTTGAGCACACAAGACTCGCGGTCCAACTCTTCAGATCTACGCAACGTTCCGCTGAAGATCCAGATTTGACTCAAGCATCCCGGCTAAGCTACCCCAATATAACTTTGCTCCCTTCAGGTATACTCCCATACCTACTGAATTGCATCTTCCGTACGAGTAATTGCCAGATGGCTCATGAGCCCCATTGGTCAATATGTTGAACAGGGGAAATGAAGAAACCTTCGTTGGTAAAACCGCGGGGCCCAAAATGGCTTCCCTTTCATGGGAGCACCCCCCATTCTGAGTCGATCGATCCGTGAATTTTCTTCCGGGAAGCCTAAAAGGAAACCAATGGGAAACCAAGCTTTGGCCATTTCACGCCTAGGGGCAATATAGGTTTTTCTCTAAGCCGGGGTTGATCAAAAGGTCCTTTACATGGGATGACCATTAAAAATCATTAGGGAAGCCACCAAAAACAATTTGATACTTCCCATGGAAAAAGTTACCCATGGTCATTTTGGTGGCGAACGGAACAGTGATCAACCCCCGGCCTGTCAAAACGCCCCTGGAAGATGCCACGCACAAAGGCTTCAAACCCAGCCTCATGGGCTTGGGGCTCACCGTGAACCCGCCCTCTGGCGGGCTTGCCCCCCCAGAAGGTGAACTGCTTGACGGGAACTGATGTGTGGACCCGCAGGGTCTCTAGTTGGTTAAAACTGCAAATGGTCCTTCCAGGGGCTCCATCTAGGGAAAAAATGGCCCCCTGCAAACCGCTCGGATAACCAAAGGCGAACATGTGAGGGATCCGATCGCAGAGATCGGAGAGAAGCCCTCAAAATACTGTTCATGAACCAAATACGTCGGCTCACAATATCGAAGCACTCCCAACCTCACAACGGTCTCCGCTTTTCCTGACACTGAGCTGTGGTCAAAAGTCTTCATGGCGCTTGTCATGACTTCCCTAGGAAGTCCTTGCAATGGTTGTCTCAACTCCCTACTAAAGGGTCAA